ATGTTAATGTACGCGGCAGAGAAGGTGGTGCATAATTTAAAATGCAAAGCGACACCTCTGAGTGAAACGAAGTATCCCTGACTTGCAGAACCAGAAGCTTGGATAAGGCCTTCCTAGAACATCATGTTACTGGTAATATAAGGATTTAAAGTGAGGTAACCCGGTGTATTGAGGGAATGCATCAATGGAAAACAAGAGCCCAGGGCAGGTACACTGCACTCTCTGTATGTATTTCTGAGCTGTAGTTTTGGACATTTACTGTACTGTTCCTTGTTTGTATTGAAGAGTACTGACGCTGTCCAAACTGCATGAACTCATTTTAGTTTCATATTTTATTCTATAGTTTGCTAAACAGGCTGAAATGATTTGGTTTTTCCCTCTAAAGACCAAGACATAAAGTTAAAATACATGATGGCCCACTGACCAATGAAGTGGCTGTAGAAATGGTTCATCCCATATTCAAAAAGATGGTGCTGTCTTTAGCAACTATTCACAAAAGGGTGAAGAGTTTGGAGAAGGCAGGAGAAGTGAACAATCTAGGACAGGGGTGCCCATTATGTAGATGGTGATCTACAAGTAGCTCTCAAAGCTGATGCTGGTAGATCACGAAGGGTGTGAATGGCAGCTCCATTATTCCATTTTGGTATATTTATTTATCTGTGCACACATGATGACCTATTAGCCTGAGTCTGCTGAGCCAACCTCCCTGACACCTTTCTGGTGGATACTGGAGGTTGAAGTGCTATGTGGAACATCAAAAGAATATTAGTTTACACAGCTTGTTGCACTACACTGTTTGCAAAATACAGCAAGGTGAGCCAGGAGAGAGAGCACGAGGAGAGACAGCCAGGAGAGAGAGCACGAGGAGAGACAGCCAGGAGAGAGAGCACGAGGAGAGACAGCCAGGAGAGAGAGCACGAGGAGAGACAGCCAGGAGAGAGAGCACGAGGAGAGACAGCCAGGAGAGAGAGCTGTAGATCATGAAGGGTGGGAATGGCGGCCCCTTTATTCCATTTTGGTATATTTATTTAGCTGTGCACACATGATTACCTATTAGCCTGAGTCTGCTGAGCCAAGCTCCCTGACACCTTTCTGGTGGATACTGGTGGTTGAAGTGCTATTACATCAAAGAATATTTGTTTACTCAGCCTGGTGTACTACACTGTTTGCAAAATACAGCAAGGTGAGCCAGGAGAGAGAGCGCCCAGGAGAGACAGCCAGGGGAGAGAGCGCGAGGAGAGACAGCTAGGAAAAAGAGAGCAAGGAGAGACAGCCAGGAGAGAGAGAGGAGAGAGGGCAAGGAGAGACAGCCAAGAGAGCTAAGAGAGACAGCCAGGAGAGAGAGCGCGAGGAGAGACAGCCAGGGGAGAGAGAGCGCGAGGAGAGACAGCCAGGGGAGAGAGCACGAGGAGAGACAGCTAGGAAAGAGAGAGCAAGGAGAGAGAGAGAGAGAGGAGAGAGAGAGCAAGGAGAGCGAGGAGAGACAGCCAGGAGAGAGAGCGAGGGAGGTTTTTTTTTTTCGTTGGTAGATCTCATGTAGCTCAACATTTGAAAAGTAGATCTTAACACAAAAAATTGTGGGCACCCCTGCTCTAGGCCATATGCTCTTTTCTTTCAGCAGCCATCACCTTTCAGGGTTCCTCTTAGGAAGGGAGCTCCCTGACGCTTTCCATGTGCCTAGGCCCAGATAGACTACTCACAGGGCAAAAAGTCCTGGAGGAAAGAGAAAAAACAGGAAGTGACTGAGAAATGTAATCGTTTCTTAGCATGCCTCAGCAGGTTCCCAAGCTCACTGATTGGGCAGGCTATCAGATATCTATAACATAGTCATATCTCTGTGGCACTCCCTGCTGGTGCAAATTCAAATAGCATGCGGCAGAGAAAATGCACTCTGAGCTTAGAGAAACACTCATGTTGAGGTACAGTTAAGCTGGGTACAAAAAATACTCCCTATGCAACTCTCCCTATGCCATTCCTACCCCAGCTAAAGCACATTGTCATCATGGCTTCTGTGACCTCACCCTTTTATAGTGTGGGGTCTGGCTTATCCAAAAGCCCCCTATTTGCCAAGGTAAGCCAGCGGGCCTGACTTGAAAGGTGAGGCAGTACATTATGGTCACAAACAATTTGGTCTAGTGAATTCCTGCAATAGTTTGCTGGGTATGCCAACCCAGAATTGCAGTGAAACCATGGTAGCATGTTTTTTAAAGAAGCTGATAGGAATAGTTATGTTCCCCTAACAAGTTATTATTATCCACTGTGGCTCGAAACTATTCTGAGAGGGCCGATAATAAGAGTGGGAAAAAAATATGGTTTGGAGAAAATTTTATAAAGATTTATAATTATCAACAGGAGAGCCCCTACAGTGAAAGAAAGGATAGTGTGGACGGTTTTAGACTTGCCAGCTAAAGGGAATGCTAACTTATTTGATGAAAAAGGATTTTATTCTTGTAGGAGATATCCTGGTTGTAAGGTCTCAAGGGTTAACAATATACAGAATTTTTTTTTTTATCTGTAAAGCCACAGGGAAGGAGTTTACCTTTTTCTCTCTATCCGGAGACAGAGAAGACATGTTCCACTGTGACAGGATCTTGCCCTGCAATGTTCTGGTATAGTGTTGCACATAAGAAATAAGCAGACATGGACTTATTTTTCACCTCTCTGATAGCAAATTGACCCTTATGCAAAAGTACTAGGTGGGGGAGGTATGGGGCGCATCAACTCCTAGAAGGAAACAAAAACTCCACCATCCAAATTTTGTACTAAGTCAATGACCCTTCGGAGGGGAGATGAACCTCAGATTCCCTCCACAATGGTCACCTACTACAGCATCTATGGCCCTAATATAACTAATGTTTTTGCATGGATCTTGCCAGTAAAATTTTGGGACACACTAATATGACCAACCTCATAGTGGGTGGTGATTTTACCACTGTTCAACATGTCACATGAAGGTTCTCATTCTTCTAGGTCATGGTATATCTGTAAAAAATTCAAGGCAACTGGACTTGTGGTAAAACACCTACTGACACCAACTTCTGAAGACCGCCAGCTTCACACACATCTCACCTTCAACTGCTTCTCAAAAGACCTTCTCAATTATTTATTTTAATTACAAACCTCACTAACTTGCAGTGATGCTCACATCCACGAGGGAGGGACTTTACTCATTCCACAGAGGATGATACCCTGTCCAGGCTAGACATGGTTCTGGTCAACACTTCACTCTTATTCCACACCCAACAATGTGAAATCCTGCCAGTTGTTATTTCAGATCATTGCCTTACAGCTACAGGATTGCTCTATGCCAAAGAGCCAACTGTTATTTCAGATCAATTCCTTACAGCTACAGGATTGCTATATACCAGAAGGAGATTTAATCTGGAGATTCTCCCCTATCTTGCTAAGGAGGAATATTTTCAATTATACTTAAAAGTGCTTAGGGGCAAAATTATAATTTACTGCACCAACCTCAAATAATTGAAAAATGTACGTAGGCCCGTCTATCTGCTAGAAAGGCCTAAATACATATAAAATGAATAGGTCAGAGCAGAATCATTTTGCCGGGATAAAGGCAAAATGTGTATGTGATGTCTGGATTGATAAATATGACTTTTATATTAGATCTTATAAACAGGTGGAATATTTTACATTTGATAATAAGTCTGGAAAACTGTTGGTCAACCTGACTGAGGATTTTTGAAATATGCACCACATCACCTCTATCAGAGATCACTCTGGACTAATACAACATAACCCTAAGGATGTGGCTGGCATTTTCTCTTATTACTATCAGAATCTGTAGACATCACAATTTTCTGACTCTGAGGCAGTGGCTACATTTCTTAAAAAGATACTACTTGCCCATGTAGATCCTTCTCTAGCTACTGAACTGCTCTGAGAGCATGGGTACTGATTTCCATAAGATTCTCACTGAGGACATTGCTACCCCACTTGCTTGTCTTTATAAATATATGTTCCAAGGTAAAATGTATTCTCTTCAGAAATGGAAGCCTATGTTAAAGTAATTTACAAAAAAACAAATGCCTTCTGGATCGAGGGGCATACTGACCCATTTCGTTAGTCAACCAAGATGTGAAATTTCTTTCTAAAATCTTGGCTGATCACCTGGCCATCCCCCATGAACCATCCTCCCTAAATCACCCTATTCAGTCAAGCTTTGTATTTGGCAGACAAACACATTATAATAAGAAAATTGCTTATCGTTTTTGAGCATCATAGGCTGTTGGAGTCTTTTCCTACGTCTGTGGGAATGTGGTCACTCGACACAGAGAAGACCATTGACAGTGGCAATGACTCAGATGGTATGGACTTCCAGGGCTTTTATCAATCTTCTGCATTGCATCTATTTCTCCCCTACCACCAAACTGCATGTGGCGAGGGTTCTCTTCCCCTTTATCACGTTTCACAGAGAAACTCGGCAGGAGTGCCCCTTGCCCTTTATCCCCCCTACTTTTGTAGCCATTGGATTCCTAATGTGATCCTCTTTCTCCCCCGACCTTTTCAAATAGAATCCAATTACAACAAAAAGAACTCTATTTTTGCAGACAACATCCTCCTGTTCCTGCGAAGTCCAAAACATGACCAAAAATTAATCTTACACATCACCCACTTTGGCTCTTTTTTGGATTTCCACATACATCACTCAAAAAGTTTGCTTTTGTTTCTTTTAGCCAAATACAGGATGATCACCTCTTTCACAAGTAATATGTTTGGGTTTTCTTTGTTAATATCCAGCTTAAAATATTGTGACAATACATACATAAATATTTATGAGATGATGGTATTTCTGCTGATATTGAGAAATATTAGTGACCAAGACCCCCATCATAGAAAAGCCACCTATAAAACAGGTCTACCGTGTCTTATAGTAAATCCAGCTCTGGATGTGTGCCTGATTGCTTGATAACTGCTTTATATAAAAACATTCTGTCTAATGTCTATGGCCAGCTCTGTCAAGGTGGAAAGGCAAATCTTACCTGGTTTCATCTGAAGAATCTCTTACCACAATCTGCAGACTGTCCCCAGCCATAATCAGGATGATTGCCACTGTGAGGTACATTAATTGTGTCTTTTTCATTTGTTGTGCTGGAGAGAAAATCATACACATGATGGAAATATTACCAAAACGTCTACCATGCATGAATTGGGGATGATACTAGAGTTTTGTCATATTTTTGTTTTAGATAGAGTGAAGAAGAGTTACACTTTCTATCAGGTTTTTATTTCTGTCTGCAATCCTATAGGTTAGATTTTACCCCATTTCCCCATCCTGACAGCAAGGGCAAATCTCCTCAATTGACAGCGATAAAAACCTGACAGAAGCTTTAACCCTTACTTGCTTTTTCCAAAATAAAATAAACCATTCTGGCTGAATTTGGCTTTAAGCCGTCAATTTTAGCCACAGAATAAAGAAAGTAAAGTAAATATTAGTCACAGAATATAAATATGTAATTAAATCTTGCCTTACAGGATATAGGTGTCAATTTACTATATTTGTCATTTTAAAGTAGAATAGAAATCTCACAAATTTTCCTGTAAGCCCTCTGATAGGATCATCCCTTTTATATCCCTTGTTTTGTGGGTTTTAACCTGGCATAGAATATTGTGTCAGTGAACCTCTGTGACATGGCTGTATTTCTACTGACTATTCAGGGAAAAGCCACCTTTCTGCCTCCTACATGCACAGAATTTCTCAGCCTAATGGTAAACCCAGCCCTGTATACCACAAATCAATAGGGCACATGTTTGCATTCCCAAATGACCCCCTCTGAGCTTCATAAAATTACTTACAGCCTAGATAACATGGTCCCGGACTGCTAGGTGCATTGTAGATGTTTCATATAGTTAGAGACTCCAGAGGATCTATTTTTTTTAGTCAAACTGACCTTGCTAATTTGGTAAAAGGATCAGCAGGTAGCAGAGCAAATATGGCTATTAGAAACTATACACATATGCAATACAAGGGTCAGTACAAATGAAACTGATATTCCAGTTTTTTGGAAGATGTTGTAGAGCTAAACCTTCTGATTCATATATTCATATCTTAGGGAATCTATTTGTGGGGTTCCTGGGTCTGCACACCGGTTGTGACCATTATAAGGGACAATGAAGACATGTCATGCTGCACTCCTTACCGTATATCCCAATATGATACGTTAGGGTGCTTTTAGTGACTATGGGTGGCACTGTAGATAAGCAAAACTTGATAAGGATGTCACCAGCACCTGAAAGTAACATTGGTTTCTAGGTGACATCCTTTATTCCCTGTTGGGAATTTTTAAAATATTTTAATGTGACAAATGCAACATTAGGTGCTGGAATACACAAAGGTAGGGGGTGTACTCAAATCTCCCAGGTAGGGAGACACAGAGTTGGGATTATGGCAGGGATATCTTACTGTTAGAGTGTCCATGCCATACCAAATGCCTGGGGCTGAAGGAGGAGGCCAAGAGGCTCCACCTATAGCTTTTGGTTTGACTGGTCAACACCCTTTGATATGATTATACATTTAGTTGATCTTTTATCATGTCTGCATGTAAAACAAGGGCTACAGGTTCCCTTTAACTGTATCTGATATTTAAACTCATGACCATTTTATCTTCACTCTTTATTTCACTATATGAAATGGGCATGTAACTATTGCAAGCCTTTTTTCTCATCTATATTTGTTATAAACCATTATTTTATCTCCAACTTAATAGTGCCTCACAATTATTACCATTCAGAATCTAGTGAGTGAAAAATGTGTGAATGGACTTTTTCATACAATGTACCATATAAATCCATATTATAATAGGCATGTAGTTAATTCAAATAATCAGTGCAATAAATAATTGATGTAAACCTGTATTTTGCCCACATACCCCTTTCTTTCTCTTCCTGCTGTTCCTTTGGATGCACAGAAAAATACCCCCCGTTATAGGTAGCATGTTACCCACTTTTTTACATGTGACAGCTCTGGTGCTTTGCCAATTAAGCACAAGTGTTGTCACATGGGGCTGGGGAGAGTACTAACTTGGAGCTTTCACAGAGCAAGCTCTTTCCACTCCTGGCAGTGGTACAAGGGAGTGAACCTTTTGCACGTTCCCTCCTAGCAAACTAAAAAACTTTTTTTTTGTCAATTTATCACAAAAAAAATTATAATTAAAATGAGTTAACACATGCATTATGCTGAAATCCCATCTCTTCGCTATAAAGGACTTCTAACCGCAGGCCATGGAGTATAGACCCTTGGGGCCTTTATTGTTTCCCTTCACATCTACAGTATGTTTTTATACAGGTAAGTGCAATATTTATAGTATATACTACACTATGCTGGGAAGCTTGTTGTATGCCTAATATTCTTTCAGTGCTTTGGATTTACTTTGGTCCTATAAGCTTTGTACCATGATGCTGGATATGTTTTTTGCTGTGCAGAGGGCCTTGGTATTTCTGCATCTAAAAATTTCATTTGGATTTGTATAACTTTTATTTAAATTTATTTACCCACATTGCTTCTATGAGGCATACGTTATGACATTACAAGTGTCTGAGCACCATTGGGGTGAAATTACTAATTTCCCTCTTCTGCTGTTATGCTGTAGGGATCTGAGCTTATTGGCAGAGTAAAGCAAACACTACATCCCAGGTAAAATAAAGTGCAGTATGACTTATTATCGCATTAGTAGTGTATTTTATGCAACCTTTAAAATTTACTACATCAAATTAAAAATATATATTTTAGGTAACTAGTTTTCATGTTTTTTTTCAGCATATTTATTTTTTTCAAGAATATTTCAGTTTTACTGCTGGTTTTTTTTTTTTTTAAATCATACTAAATGTATCTGCTTAAGAAAGCAATAATGCAGTTTGCAGTAAGCTGTGACAACCACTAAAACGTCAATTTAATGCAAGCAGATCAAGGAACCATATTGATTGCGGTACACTTTGCCCTAATAAGCACAAATTCTCTAACTGCTATTTTTTCTGTAGGAAACAAATATTCAGAATTCATGTTTTGCATGACAATCTAAATCAGAATGAAGGTTATAATGAAGAAACGTTGCTTGTATGCATCCGTGCAGCAAACAGACAAATGTGTACAGTTAGTAAGTTTGACATGTGTTGGTGTGTTCAGCTTAATAGATATCCCAGAAAGATAGCATTTTGTGAAATGCCACAAAAGTAGACATATAAGTATTCCTACGTTGGCTATATTATTACATCTTAAACTAACAGCCTATTGAATTGTATATATACCTTTAAACTATATCCATAATACTTGCTTCTCAAACAAGTCAATGGCATGCTAAAAATTAATTGACATGCCTAAAATATATTAGTTGAGTACTAGAATAGTTAAATAAACTAATCATGGAAATTGCCTACCTTCTTTAGGTAAATTGTTGCTGCTCAGGTCTCCTCTGTGCATGTATTTGCCTCTGTTTGAATGTTCCCCACATATTGTCCTTTTATACTATCATCCAGCTTCTTCCTGACAGGTAGGTCAACAGTTCTTCTCGATTTAGACTTACCAGTCATTATAATTTAGAGTCGAGCTCATTTCCAGCATGCATTTAACAAGAAGATGCTACCATGGTCCTTTGCATCATCTACAAGAGGCCGATAGACTAATCATGTTAGTTATGAACTCAGTGTACATATTTGGCAAGAGAAAAGGTCAGTGGAAGTTGTCAGTTAGAATTGTATGTTTGATGGTGAATTCAGTGCCCAAAGGTAGAATGACAAGCCTACATGTTCCAGACCAACAGACATATAAAGCCACATGCCAAGTACATTTATGTGTTACTAGTGCCTCCAAAATCTCAGATGACAAATGTGTGAAATATAAACAGATGAGATGTGTAATGTATCACTGTCTTCTGGAAAAAGATCTACTGAATACATATACATGGTGATTTCATCGCTCAACATATGATAAATGAAAATAAATGCCTTTCAAGAAAGGATATCTTCACATTGAGAACATTAGTTCTTTTAACACATCAATGGATACCAAGCAACGCTGTAAACTTCTAACGGCTGCATTTTTCCCTGTGCTTTGAGAGCAATCATCACAGGGCCAAGGCATTGTAAATAATGCTTTCTTTACATTGAGCCTGTCTACCTTCTGCACTGTACATTGCAGAGGAACATGCAGCCAGAACTGAGAACAGCAAGAAAGGCATCTGTTCTTCATACCGTTTTCATTTCATGTCTTTGGTGGCAAAAACCAAATGATGTCTTCTAAAATCCCTAAAATCACTAATAAACAGATCACAAATTGGTGAAAAAATGCATCCCTGCAATAGATTAACTTAACTATAGAGAGCAAATGTAAATGCATTCTGCTTTCCACTAGTGGCTGGTTGGAAGCACATGGGATGATGGGTAGGAAGGGCTTAGCAAAACTTATACAGTGGCTGCCTTCTTCCAGCAGTTTATGATCTACTTGCAATTGGTGTTTCATTGCTGTTACTCATCTGTGACTCCTGGCACTTAAGACATGGGATCAAACAGATGTGTGGATAAGATGCCTTCCTTGTTGCTCACAGTCTTGGTCTACAGTTATAATCAAAATTGCAGACAAGCTGAATGTAAACAATACACTGTTTACACTGCCTTGTATGAGGGTAACTCTGACATTTTTGAGATATGCAAAACCTAGTTAGTGTACGAATTCTTTACTGCCGATGCGTTCAAATTCAACACAGCAGTTGCACTTCGCCAGGACTATTCGTAATTACAGCACTTTAAGGACAGGGAAAGAAAATTACTTGATGAAGCTGGATGTACTCAAAATGCTACTGTAAGTATAGTTATCAGTTAATATCTCTAACAATATATTCACTGTTGTATACATTCCATGTATACTTTTAAGCCCCACTAGGTACCATACAGTGGATAGTGGACATAAAACACATTTTGATAAATAAAATAAGAATAACAATGCACTTACAAAGTGACAACTTGAAGGTACCTCTATGAAAAAGCAAAAAAAAACAAAATAACATGCTGTAAAGGACACTGGAAAACCTGGAAGATGAAATCTATATGTACAGGACATTGATCAGATGCCTGATGAGAGTTGTACTGCTTTGGTATAAGCTCCAATCAAGTGGTCACATTAAAATCCATTTTGAATCTTATTTTAGTTATTAAAGGTGTTTTACCTGCACTACCCGGTGCACTCTGTCCTCTTTATTTTATACTGCTGGTTATATGGCCATCCGTTTAATGAGGCAGCCTGAGGCTGTTGCCTCAGGTTGCATCTCTTTGGGTCACGTGGGGGGGCAGCAGGCAGAGCGGTATGGCAATGTTTACAGTGTGCCTGCCACCCCCTTTCTGACCAGAGCATCTCAGGTTTGGCCTCAATATGATTGACTGCACTGCAATGTTTAATACCGCAACACCGTGCATTACAGTGTGGTTGAAAAATAAGTGCATGCAAAGCACCTGCTGCATTGTAATGCACGATAGGTGCATTGCATGGTACCGTACATTAGGTGCTGCTGGCGGGAACTTCAAACACTATGTGAGCAGCTGCCACACAAATGCAAAACCCCGTTCACTCCCCATCCTGCACATACTTTTTTTAATGTTTAAAAGGCAATGGAAGAGGATGTAATGGTCACACTTGTCACTGATTGTTAGGACTGCCCAGTAGTCCTGGCATCCAATGACTGCAAAGGGGGAGAATCCCTGATGTCATTGGTAGTTAGGATCAACCAGCGGTCCTAGCAACCAATGACTGCAGAAGAGGACCCCTGATTTAATTGGTTGCTAGGATGCCAATGGTCTGATCACTGACCTGCGCTGAGCTATGGCTTGCAGTTGATACAATTGCCACTCATAACAGAGCACAGATTGGCCACCACAGACCAAGGGCCAGATATGGCCCGCGGGCCGTAAAATGCTCGGGTCTGCCCTAGGACAAGAAGTGTGCTAGAACTACAGAATACTTCCACCTCTCCTCATCCCCACGAGGACGAGGCTAATAACACTACTTGAGATAAAACTACAGATGGCACCGGATACAGGACAGCACTGGATTTCTGCCAGGATCAACATTTTTTCACTTTTAGAAAAGATATAACAAAAAGCTTCCAATGGTATATTTAACAGGCCAAATAGAAACAAATAGGTGAAGTTCATTGTTAGGGTTTACATGCACTATAAAATATTGTTGTGGTACTCTACAAAGAAACTTTAAAAACCTTCTAGCATAAAAATATACTTACTGGTTAATAGAAAAGGGAGCACTAATGTTATCATTGTCCTAGTCCCACTTATGTCTTCAAGTAGCCCTGCACTGTACAGATTAGTTGAGGTAGCTTTTCACTTGTTTATGTTCCTCTTTGATATACATGAGGACTTTGTGCACTAAACACATTGCATTCAATGGTCTGGCAAGAGCTTCACAATTAAGTGCTCAAAGAGTCATTAACTGTGTTAGAGTATATCAATAAATTACACAAATAAAGATAACAAGCATGAAAATAAATACAGGTGACGTCAATCCACCAAACAAGACTCGCTCTTCTTAATCCATTCCGTGGCCCTTAAAGCCCTCTGCTAAAGGTTGAGCCAATTAGTCAGGCTGACGCATATATCCCAAAGCTCATTACCCCAAAGGAAATTTGAAAAATTATTAATATAATTATAGAAATAAATGTCATGGGGGGATATTGAGTGGCTGAACAGGTCCATGGTGCATTAAAAGAAAAATAAAGAGAGAATACTAGCCGAGCCACCATGAAGAGCTGCGTGCAATGTGGCAAATATAGAAACACTTTTCTGTACATTTCCTTAAAATAATTTGAAGATCATATAAAATGGTAACTTCCTCTATAGATTTGCTATGCGTTTGACAGGTGATACGTCACTGTGGCCACCACAACACTCTTAAGCTGGCCATACACCTTACAACTATTGCAGGACTTTTGTCTTGCGATGGTTGTAAGGTAATTAATAAAATGTACGATCTGCCCATCTTGGACAGGCAGATTGTACTTGCGATCATCACAAGCCCGCCCCGCTGAGGGTAGAAATGGTCGCACGCCTTCCATACACCTGCCGATTATCGTACGATCGCGAGATTTCCCGCGATTATCGTACAATAATCGGCAGGTGTATGGGCACCTTTAGATAGGGAACTGTTTTTGACGGTCAAATTAATTGCCCACAGAGGGTATCACATCAATTGAATATGATTTATAGTATATGGCGCATCATGGGGTTGTCTGTATATTAAAACATTTTGGAAATGGCCACACATTTTTTCAATCTGGATAATCATTATCCCTTTACGTTTGCTCTCTGGAGGATCACAGAAAATTCTTCTTTGGGAATCACAAGGCAACTCTAGACAAGGAAACACATGTTTAGCCATTGTTGTGTCTATTTAAAGTGACACTAAACTTAAAGGAGAACTATGGGGTTAAGGCTTTTCCCCATAGTTCTCCTTAGGGTAACGGGAGGACACAAACTAGCGTCCTCCCATCACCCTAGGCTCAGTATACCGCGAGCTGCTGCTCGCGGTATACTGAGACGTCGCAGCTGAAGCGGATCCCGACAATTGTGCCGGGATCCGCCCAGCTGCGTGAGTGACAGCTGGCTCTGCTTATCTAGAGGCAAAGCCAGCTGTACCTGCCCCCTCCCCCGTCCGATCCGCCAGTCAGCGCTGGTGGATCGGGGAGGGGGAAACCAGCCCCTCCCCTGTCACGGCAGAGAGCCGTGACAGGATCGAGAGGTGAGCGAACGCCGGTATGTGTTCGCTCACCTCCCGATCTACTGAGCCGACCTGTGACAGTCTCATTGTCACAGGTCGGCTAGAACTATGACGTGAGTGAAAAGCACTCACCTCATAGTTCTCCTTTAAATCTTAAAATACCTTAACTATTTTAAAAAAATGTAACTTATTTGTAAATCAGTGGGCTGTAAATGCCTAAATCATCTCTGAATTGGTGCTGACACCGTCCTTCCTTCTGGAGGGGGGCTACTTTTGTTCCCCATGGTCCCTGTGTGTGTTGTAAAGTAGTCACTGCTCCAAGCTCGCTCTGGTGATGGACTACAATCTCAATACAAAATAGCTAACTAAAAGATAGATAGTACATCTAAATGTGGTCACAAAAGTGAAAGATTTTACCTTTGTTTTTTAGGGCAAAACATATCTTCCTCTAAATTTCATAATATGCAATCACCCTCTACTGTCTAGTTTTGAAAATTGTCTACCTGCCACAAAGTACAGAGCGTTTAACTCAGATAACAAAGGATTTTGTATTTGTAGAAGAGAGCTGTGAGCACAAAGTACATATAAACCCATAAAAGTCAGAAGGTTTCTAAGATATGTGAAATGCTGATTATATACCTTACAATAGATGCTGTTCCTTGTTGTTTGAAAGTTGTAATTTTCTTGCAGAATCAGCTGCTCCCTGAGCACTGGCCCTGATATTCTGTATTAGGGCTTGTTC